CTCTGGGATCTGCAGGTTGGTAATAACATCCTGCCTGCCCAGTGCCTTGCTCACAGTCACCATTGCTGCCTTGGGAAAGTATCAAGGTTCCTTTTGGGGTGATGATGATAGAACCAGCAACCCCTGGTGCACAGCAATTCAGGTGTGAAAAATGAGGTCAGTTTGGGGGCTTATGGTTGGGGAAAAACTGTAGCCAGCTGACTTCTGCCCTTTTCATAGCCCTTGTGACAGGGGTTATTTTTTGTCTTGGCTAGTGTGGCTCTGGGTCTCCCAATACCTCTGGTCTGACTCTTGTTCATAGTCTTATTTCCCTGAGTTAGAGTAGCTGTTCTCTCCAGGCCTGACTTCTCAAAATGAAGCCTCTCCTCCTAGTTTCTTCGATTCAGATGCTAGTAGGCATGGAGGCTCTTCTATGAAATGTGACCTATTTCTCTATCCTTAACCTCCTTAACAGTGGCCTGGACTCTGTGACAGTGGGGAAAGCAGAAAGATGAGGAAGAATACAGATGGAGAGAGATTAGGGGAGGGCTCATTGCTGCAAGTTAACTTGTGTGCCTACAGACGCCTACCAGTCTCTTTAAGGCTTCATGATCAGCCTGAGGCATTCACAGGACCATTTAGCATGGTCCTAGGTGGCATCTTCACCATCACATATCATGCATGTAGATACAGTTGATTTGCCTCCTTTACCCAAGTCTTGCCAGAACTAGTACACATGTTTCATATCTTTGGGAAACTTTAGCTGTACAGACCTGTAGGGATGATGTATTTGATGTCCTCTGGCATTTAGAGACGGCAATGCAGCACTTCTGAATAGAACATCCTCTTCATCATTGTTATGCACAAGTTAGGGCAGAAGGCCATTGTGGGGATTGAACAGGGAACTCAAGGCACTCCTGGAGATGAGCAGGGAGGGCTGTAGTGGAACCTTCCCAAGTCCAGGAATTTTCTCCATTTCCTAATTCTCTCTGTGTTGCTGAGTCTCCCTCTAGGCTGACCGAAGGCTTTATTTTATTTATTTATTTATTTTTTGAGACAGAGTCTCATTTTGTTGCTAGGCTGAAGTACAGTGGCACAATCCCAGCTCACTGCAACCTCTGCCTCCTGGGTTCAAGTGATTCTCCTGCTTCACCCTCCCGAGTAATTGGGAATACAGATGCGTGCCACCATGCCCAACTAATTTTTGTATTTTTAGTAGAGACAGGGTTTCACCATGTTGGCCAGAATGGTCTTGATCTCTTGACCTTGTGATCTACCTGCCTTGGCCTCCCAAAGTGTTGTGATTACAGGCATGAGCCACCGTGCCCAGCTGGGCTGACCCAAGACTTTAAAGGGCACATTCTTAAAGAGAGTCCAGAGACTGGGAGGACAGTGCTCTGTGCCTGGCTTACTTTACTGATTATGTGTCTCAGATTTGTGCAGTGGAGTTCTGCTTCTTACTGCTTGATTTCTGTATCTTCCTCTCTTATTAGGTCATTATCAGGAACCCACTATTTCTGTGTCCTCCCCTACTCTTTTTCTGCCTATGTTCTTGCCTCCATTCCTCCCAACTATCGTAAAGTTCAGGTCACTGCTGAGAAGGAGATTAAAGACAGAGAGAGACAAGTCACATCCCACAGAGGGCTCCCTGCCTGCTAGGAGTAGAAGTGACTAGCAGTGACCACAGGAATCCCCTTATTTCTGACACACTTAGTATTTCTTTATCACTTCTTTGCATGCAGGATAGTGATGACTCAGCAGGTATCTTTCTTCCATGAAGCACTCAGAGCATCACTTAAAGTAAGGACTATTGACACTCAATCAGTAATCCCTTCAGATGGCAACACCAGTGTCTGCTATGTTATTCCTTAAATTCAGTCTCTGCCTTCAAGTTTTCATGATTTCCAGCCTTTTAAGACATTTATTTATTATTTAATCTAATCATATGGATGTTTATTCTGCCAACATTACTGATTACTGACTGCATTTTAGGTGTTTCTAGAGCTTGCCCTAGGGCTGCTGCAATAAGCAAAGCATAGTCCCTGCTTTTTAGAGTGCAAGGTCATCAGTGCAATGACAAAGCGATAAAGACATTACAAAAGGAAAGAAAAGGAGACACATTATGCTGTCTTACAGAATTCAAGCACAACTTCACAGAAGATAGCTTGCTTAGATTGAATTTAGATGAATAAATACTAGTTCAACAGCATCAGCTCTTTGCTCAATCGTCCCCTGCTTTCTGGTTAGAGAACTAAATAGAGCTTCACTTTTAGATTCCTGGGAATAAAGTCCCTTCTGCTTTTCTTTTAAGAATCACAGAGGGACCTCCTATTTACTTGAATAATTAGTGCTTAATAAGGAAGCCATGGGCTTTTGCTCTAATCTCACAAGACATGCAGCACAAAAAAGAAGCAGATTATAAAATATTCAGGTTCACGTGTTTCTGCTCCTCTGTTTCACCTTCTGCAGTACAGTTTCAGTCTCACTGCTCTATTCACGCTGCTTCTATTAAAGCCATGGGTACCTTCCACAAACACATAGCTGTTCTCCAACTTCTCAGCTATAAAATGAGAAATGATCTGAAGCTTGTAACAGAAGGGGAAAGAGAATTAACTTTCTCTGTATGTGGAATAATAAGCATTGAAAAGTGATTAAAAAAATTTTTTTTTGCAAGAATATGAGATTTCCCTGGTGGTCTCAATAAAAATGTCATCATTATTTTAAGTTGACTCTTGAAGAAAGACAAAAGCTGGGAGAATTACACCCACCTGGAATTTCAGAATTTATAGCTGTTAGATGGAGAGTTTGGGGGCAATACGATATTCCCAAAACATTATTGATTTGTAAAAAAGACACACTGAGTGATATAAAGATGCATAATCCACAAGAACTGGGTCATTCTTGACTTTAAAAAATCTTCACATGTACATGTACATGAACCACTACCCCAACAAAGAAAAACATGGTTGTTTCAGACTACACTGTCTTTTAAGATAAACATAGAGACACAAATGTAGCCAGTTGTAAGTTTTTTATTTTAATACTTGATGGATGAATACTTGAGGGGTGAATCCCATGGAGAAGGTTAAACAGACAGCTGTTTATTCGATAGTTCATGTTAACATGGGGTGTCAGAGACACCCCATGCTATAACATCATGATGAGAGGTAAACATATCAAAAGTTTGAAACAGAGAAGCAGAATCATAAAGGCAAAGAAGAAAGGATAGATAACTATAGTTATCTTTTTAAACATTAACAATATTGCAAAAATATTTGCCATTATTTTCAATGGCAAAAATCACAATTACTTTTGCACTAACCTAATAAAAGATGACTAAGATCCCATAATCATTTTTTTATTAGTAATGCTAAAAAAGATTTATAGACTATACTTTATAAAGTAACCTATATATCAAGACTTTGCATACATTAGTTCATATTTATAATAAATATATAAGACTGATATTATTTATTCTACTATGAGATAAGGAAATCAAGACTTGGAGAGTTATAGAAAACTAGCGAGACTTTATTCCTAGAATATGAAATGGACAGAATTTAAACTAACTCCGTGTGCTCACAAAGTTTGTATTTATCACAAATTGCATTGTGAAGCATCTACCATGCTAGCTTATAATCATGAAATTTAATAAGATACAGTTCTTTAAGACAAGGCATTAAGATGCTGAAAGGATTTCTATGATAGAGATAAGTCAGAAAGATGTGGTTGAACAAAGAGGATCATAAGATACAGTGCTTCTGACCGTGTTGACCTAACACAGCCAATGAGTCCTTTTGAGCAGAAGAAGACAGCAGACTCTAAATTTTGAAGAGTGAGGAAGACCAATTCAGATAAAGAAAATTGAAGATAGACTACACAGAAGGCATGTATAAAATAGGATAGTTTAGTCATATAGCTCCAAGAATGTTGGAATGCTTTAGTAAACCATACATGTAGAAATATGTTAACTGTAAGATTAAAGTAATACACAACAGATAACTTTTGAAAACCTTTAATGTAGTCTTAAGAGTATAATTTTATTCTATGCAATAGATTCACTGAAGGATTTTAGCCATAGGAGTGACATGATGACATCTGCATTTTAGGAAAGACATGACTTGAAGGTTGAAAGTGGATTGGGAAGATGTTCATAGCAAAGGCAGAGGGATGTAATGAAACAGTCCAGGTGAGAGAAGTTGGATGTTTGACATTGGGTGTTGAGAACAGGAGTAGATATAATAGATGTTAAAAGTACAGTTAACAGGAATTGGCAAATGGGGAAAAGGGATGAGAGGTAAGAATAAGTTAGGATAGTTTTCAAGTTTCTAGATTGGGTTTGGTAGATGGATAGTGATGTAATTCATAAAAATGTTGCCAAAAGTAGGTAGAGCAGATTTAAGAAGAATAGATGAATTAATTTAGACTTGAATATGTTGGGGCTGTGGTGTAGCTATTCAGGAAGCTAACAAAAAGAATGATTTGTATTTCAGAAAGATATTTGACTTAGAAACATAGATTGAAAGAAATAAAAATAGATAGGTAAAACCATGAAAATGGATGAAGTCAATTCAGAGATAATGTACTGAATAGGGAAGAGAGAAGAGGATGGATCCCTGGAATCAACGACATAATGAGATGGGGAAAATGGTGGGACTGAGGCTACAGGAGAAACAACTCTAGAGTGCCATGCCATGGAAACTGAGGGAGGCTAATTTCAAAAACAACAGTTTAACTTACAGTTTAGTAATGCCAAGAGGCTAAGAAAGAAAACCCTTTGAAGTTGACAGTTTCAAAACATAAGCAACTGAATGGTTAAAGCTTATGCATCTCTCCCAAAACAGTGTATGTTCACTCTTATCTCCAAACAAAACTAGATCTATTCTAATTCAGACATATGGATGTCTCACCTGTAAAAAAATTATCTCCACCGAAGACTTTATTTCTTGTATCTGACTTTATTCCCTTTGGTTGCAGTTTTAGTCACTCTATTCTTCTCATGAAGAATGGTAGACAATGTGATCTGGACTATGTGATAATGTACCAGAAATGCAGAAATCATGACTTTGGTTTCTTTTTTCTCTTTCCTCTTCAAGTCGTTGATAATGGCTCTTAGCAATTTCAGCTGGAGGCCACCCCAACCTTCTTTTTTCCTGGTAGGGATTCCGGGTTTAGAGGAAAGCCAGCACTGGATCGCACTGCCCATGGGCATCCTTTACGTCCTTGCTCTAGTGGGCAATGCTACTATTCTCTTCATCATCTGGATGGACCCCTCCTTGCACCAACCTATGTACCTCTTCCTGTCCATGCTAGCTGCCATCGACCTGGTTCTGGCCTCCTCCACTGCACCCAAAGCCCTTGCAGTGCTCCTGGTTCACGCCCATGAGATTGGGTACACTGTCTGCCTGATCCAGATGTTCTTCATCCATGCATTCTCCTCCATGGAGTCGGGGGTACTTGTGGCCATGGCTCTGGATCGCTATGTAGCCATTTGTCACCCCTTGCACCATTCCACGATCCTGCATCCAGGGGTCATAGGACGCATTGGAATGGTGGTGCTGGTGCGGGGATTACTACTCCTCATCCCCTTCCCCATTCTGTTGCAAAAACTTATCTTCTGCCAGGCCACTGTCATAGGCCATGCCTATTGTGAACATATGGCTGTTGTGAAACTTGCCTGCTCGGAAACCACAGTGAACCGAGCTTATGGACTGACTGTGGCCTTGCTTGTGGTTGGGCTGGATGTCCTGGCCATTGGTGTTTCCTATGCCCACATCCTCCAGGCAGTGCTGAAGGTACCAGGGAGTGAGGCCCGACTTAAGGCCTTTGGCACATGTGGATCTCATGTTTGTGTCATCCTGGTCTTCTATGTCCCTGGAATTTTCTCCTTCCTCACTCACCGCTTTAGCCACCATGTACCCCATCATGTTCATGTTCTTCTGGCCATACTGTATCTCCTCGTGCCACCTGCACTCAATCCTCTTGTCTATGGGATGAAGACTCAGCAGATCCGCCAGCGAGTGCTCAGGGTATTTACACAAAAGAATTGATCTGAACATATTCTCATTGTTTTCTTCAGAGGCTCCTGCCACGGACATAGCCAGGAGCTCATGGCTGGTGTAGATTATATGGATAGGAGTAATTTTCACAGCTACTAGTCCTCCTAGTGTCCCTCATATCACAGCAAAGAATATTCAGAGACACTTGGCTTCACAGCTTATTGGGATATAGTGGATACCTGGATATTTGTGAATAGTTTTTCCATTCTTTTGCTTCTGATTCCAACATTTTCCTACTCCTGTGTCAGAGAGACTCAAGGACAGGAGAAATGGATGACAGCTCTGGATGGGTCATCTTTCCTGATGTTGTCCAATGATAGACTATGCAATATTCTCTGAAATTGCAATGGAAAGTCCCACCCTCTGCTTGATTTTAGGGTTAGAGTGTCGTCCAAACCTCTAAGTTTGTGCTGGCAGCCCCAGATCATTGAAATTCTGTGTATTAATAGGGTTTCTGCATAACAGCTTAGAAGACCACAATGTGAGAAAATGCCTTTCACTGTAAGATGAGTGTTATTTATTAAAAAAAAAAATGGGGTAGGTAGTATAATATATCATAGGAATAAAAAAATAGGATTTTAAATTTTTTTTTTATTATTTATTATGTATTTATTTGTAATTTAAAATTTATTTATATGTTTGCTTTGGGTAAAGAGGAAATAAGACCAAGTACTGATGATATATATACCATATATATATATGGTATTATTAGCATTCAATAACCATAAAATGTGCTAGATTTTGGTGTTGGCAAACATAGCTTTAAGAGATAAATAAATAAATAAGTAGTCATGCCACTAAAAAATGAGTTTCAGTCTCTCCTTCTGAAATAGAGATACAGAGTGATGTCAATTAGATCTTTCATTTCTGTTCATAGGAACTGGGTAAGAACTTATAAGAGGACTGTCACTATTGGTGTATTGCATACTGTCTGTTAGATGTGGCCCTAAGATCTGGCTTGACTCTTTTTTGTTCCTAAAAAGTAACACATTTTGTTTAGTCCTGGAAGAGGTGAAGTCATTGCTATTTTGAGGTAAGATGCTCAGGTGATGAGAATATCTTATCCTGGGATTTTATATTGGTAGCAGTGGTGGAATTAGGTAATTAGGTCTTTCTACTTTCTCCTTTTTTGGTAAATTTTACTCTCAGTAAAATACTTTTCTGTTTGAGAAACAAAGTATTATACTTTTAATTTGGTTGGTGCATATGAATGAATTAGGGAGAATTGGAGTGAACTGTCCTTGTTGCAAGAGGAATTACACATTCTCATCAGCTTAACTCCAGGTGTGGGGACTTAACAGATTTGGTAAGGCATTCTAGAGAAACTCAGGCTATGGTGTGTCATATGTATTGGAAGAAACTTTCTTGACCCTAGAGAGTCTAAACTTCATTTTGGTAGGCTGTAACAAGTAGTTTGTTGCTCTTTCTTTGCATTTATATTACTTGCTGATGCTTGCAAAGTGGATATGATGGTGGGATCTGAGGCAGTTTTCTTCGATTACAGGCTAGAAATGTGAGTTGAAGATGGCGCAATGATATGAACAAGCTGTGTTCCTGACACTGTCTGGGCTGCCAACCCTGACTTTTATCTGAGACAGAAATAAACTTGTGTTTTAACTAAACTACTATATTTTTGGTAATCTTCATTGCAACAGACCAACTTATAGCCTAAAATATAAAAGTTTTTCATCTCAGATTTTCCAAGTAGGATGTGTATTCTTCTGTTTGAAGTATGTCTTTTAGAATTTCCTTTTGTAAGGATTTGCAGTTTCTGTTTGTTTAAAAATCTTTTTCTCTCACTTAAAGTTACTATCAGAAATTTGTTTATCTTATTTTTAATTATATTTTATTTTCTACTGTGTCTGTAGTCTACTCTATATCATTCCTAACATTGTTTATATGTGCTTTCTGTTTGCCTTAGTCGCCTTTGCTAGACATTTACAAATATTGTGAAAACATTTCAACATTTACATGATACAGCCATTCAGCTAAATGCTAGTGCTAACCCTTTTGATTAACCTTTTTTTGAGATGGAGTTCACTCTTGTCACCCAGGCTGGAGTGCAATGGCATGATCTTGACTCACTGCAACCTCCTCCTCCTGGGCTCAAGCTATTCTCCTGCCTCAGCCTTCCAAGTATCTGGAATTACAAGCATGTACCACCATGCCTGGCTAATTTTGTATTTTTAGTAGAGACGGGGTTTCTTCATGTTGGTCAGGCTGGTCTTGAACTCCTGACCTCAGGTGATCCACTCACCTTGGCCTCCCAAAGTACTGGGATTATAGGCATGAGCCACTGCGCTGGGCCTGTATTAACCTTTTTTAATATTTTATGATAATTTAGATTCCTTTACTTTTCTGTCACCTCAAAATGAATAAATTAGGACATTTCTAAAATATTACACTTACTATAAATGGCTTTCTTGTATTTACTCTTTAAGGGACAAGTTTTTTTTCTTGTTTAGCCTAGTCCTTTCTTCACATGATGGTAGTTTCCCTCAATTATTTGTAAATTCTTACTCTTATTTGTACATAGATGAGAATTAAATAGTTGTGTCATTGCTGTAAAGGTCACTGCTCTTGCGCCCCAGTTGTAGGACTTTGTAGGTCATTGTACAGGGATTTACTGACAGAATTCCCCTCAGATTGTCAAGAGGAAAATGAAAGATGAATTGGATTCCCTCATCTTTTGCCGAAGTAGAGAAGCCTTTATATCTGCAATCAGAGACAATCTGGTATAGTTTGCTAACCTGTGGAGCTGCCTCTCCATACCTTTTCTCTATTTCTGACTTGGAGAACCAAAGTTACCTTGTAGTTGCATCTGATTACATCTGCTCCACTGCAATCACAGGGTTTAGAGATACAAAGTCACCTCTTTCATTTTATAAGGAGCCAAGTTTCATGCTAGACTGACTCAATCGCTCCAGTAGTAGAATAATAATAAACTAATCAAGGAAATAATTAATTGATTTCAATTGCTGTTATCATTTATTGATTTTAAACTTGGAATATCCCTTGGATCTCTTAAATTTTTAATTTTTAAAAAATAGATTCAGGGGTTACACATACAGGTTTGATACAGGGATATATTGTGAAATAATGAGGTTTGCACCCTGAATCTCTTAATGAGAACATTGCCCAGTCCTTCATCAAGCTTTAACTTTTCCAATTCCTCATCCCCTAGTAATTCCTACTCTCCACATATACTTACCTACAAATGGTTTGTAGGTTTCTGCATTCCAGTTTTTCTATAAACCCAATCTAGTCTAATTTATGAATTCCAAAGATTTCTCAAAGTATACAATGCAATCCAACTACATATGCTCATGTTCTAGTATTGTTACTGCATTATTTTTATATTTCTTTAGCAATTTAATGGGTACATTGGGAGACAGAGGATTAAACCATGTTTGTAGTCCAACATCTTGAATTGGAATGATCGCAATTATAATTAAATTTGTGATATTATTTGTGCTGTGTATATTTTTTATACTATATTGTAGGTTTCAGGGAAGCAGGATTCTTATGTCTTCCATGTACTTCTCATTACCAAGTGCCTGTCATTTTTCAACATAATATATGCACCCTCAATAATTATTTGTGATGAGAAATATTTAATCGGTGAATACACAAAATTGATACCACTGCAGTGAATTCTCATTTTTTCCTTTTAATAACTTTTAGTATTATTTTCTGTGTAGGACTAGGGGAACAGATCTTCCATTATAGAATTAGTCTCTTCTCTACCTGGAAGAGATGGGTACATTTTTGAGAGGAAGAAGCTCAGGAGTGCTGTTGGAGATTGAAAGTGCAGATTTCTCACCATCCCATTTACACTCTTGGTAGTAGCAAATGACCACAAAGAATTAAAGAGGACTCAAAATTATAACAGCTAGAACCCAGTAACTTCCATATACAGGACTGTCTGGTTATTCATGGCTGGAAAATACAATGGGACCAGGAGACAAAGATTCCTTTCCCTTAATTCTAGATCTTAAGATTTCTTCCTACTCCTTTCACCCACCCATGAGGAGATTTGACCTGGAAAATTAGGCTTCAAGTACAATTTGCCAGCTGTCTGCATGGAGAACTATAGGACCCCATAAACAGAGCCCCTAGCAAAACATAAAAGGCAAAAGAGCGAATGGCTGTCTTCTAGGTTTCTCTCCCTGGAAAGCAAATTATAGGCTTTTTTTGCAGATGAGATTACAGTATTTGAGTATAAAGCAAAATAATCCACTGCCATCCTTATGTAGCCATGAGTCAGGCAGTGGAACAGACAGGTAGAGCAATGGTAGAGTTTCATATCATTGCAGCGATTGTTTCCAAGAATCTCTTCAAATGTATTAGTGATCCTTCTTCCTATATGGAAAAGCAAGCAAAGAAGGGGAGAAGGGGAGAGGAAAGAGAAATATTCACTCCCATGTTTCCCCTTGTGGTGAGAAGAAAAGCCTTTCTCTGTGGAATTGTAAAGGGGAGGAAATGAGATTCTCCCCTAATTGGCAGAATGTGGGCTCTTTCTCATCCATTGGGTGAGGGAACTTAGAGCCTGTTGATAATGTCACATGCAGACTTGGGAAGCCACAAGGAGGGGACAGGGCATTTTTGTGTGTGTTTGCTCATAAATTATATCTCAACAAATTCCAAAAGGAGTGAAATGTTGCAGAATATTTCATATTACTAAAGCAGAATTAAATTAAACAACAATAACAAGATGGCATGAAAAGCCCTACACATTTGGAAACTAAACAAAATATACATAAATAATCTACAGATCAAATAATAAATCACAGGGAAAGTTAGAAAATATTTCAAACTTATTGATAATGATGTATATCAAAAGTTGCATAATGCAGCTAAAGAGAAAACAGAAGAAAATTTATAAATTTAAATTCTTATATTAGAAAAGAATAAAGATTTAAAATTAACTACCTAAGTTCATAACTTAATTTACAAGAGGAACAATAAATTAGGCCCAGGGTAAACAAGGGTAGGGAATTAATACAGACAAGAACAGAATAAATAAAATAGAAAAGAGAAAGAATAGATAATATCAACAAATTTTTAATTTTATTTTTGGGAAAGATTAATAAAATTAATAAAACCTTAGTAAGACCTATGAAGAAAAAAGAAAAACACAAAGAATCGAAGTGATGATTTAAGAAGGAGTTACTACTACAGATAGTATTAGACATCAAAATGATAGTAAAAGAAATGTTACAAATAACTTTAAGCCAATAAAAACCGTAATTTTCTTATGAGATCTTAGGACTCAACAGGTGATGAGAATTCCAACCACTTGTGATTACAAATCCTTTTATTTTTTAATTTTTTATTGGATTTTAGGTTTTGGGGTACATGAGCAGAGCATGCAAGACAGTTGCGTAGGTACACACATGGCAGTGTGCTTTGCTTTTCTTCTCCCCTTCACCCACATTTGGCATTTCTCCCCAGGCTATCCCTCCCCACCTCCCCCTCCCACTGGCCCTCCCCTTTTCCCCCCAATAGACCCCAGTGTTTAGTACTCCCCTTTCGGTGTCCATGTGTTCTCATTTTTCATCACCCACCTATGAGTGAGAATATGCGGTGTTTCATTTTCTGTTCTTGTGTCAGTTTGCTGAGGATGATGTTCTCCAGGTTCATCCATGTCCCTACAAACAACACAAACTCATCATTTCTGATTGCTGCATAATATTCCATGGTGTATATGTGCCACATTTTTCCAATCCAGTCTATTATCAATAGGCATTTGGGTTGATTCCAGGTCTTTGCTATTCTAAACAGTGCTGCAATGAACATTCGTGCACATGTGTCCTCATAGTAGAACGATTTATAGTCTTTTGGATATATACCCAGTAATGGGATTGCTGGGTCAAATGGAATTTCTATTTCTAAGGCCTTGAGGAATCGCCACACTGTCTTCCACAATGGTTGAACTAATTTACACTCCCACCAACAGTGTAAAAGTGTTCCTTTTTCTCGACATCCTCTCCAGCATCTGTTGTCTCCAGATTTTTTAATGATCGCCATTCTAACTGGCGTGAGATGGTATCTCAATGTGGTTTTGATTTGCATCTCTCTGATGACCAGTGACGATGAGCATTTTTTCATATGATTGTTGGCCTCATATATGTCTTCTTTCGTAAAGTATCTGTTCATATCCTTTGCCCACTTTTGAATGGGCTTGTTTGTTTTTTTTCCTATAAATCTGTTTGAGTTCTTTGTAAATTCTGGATATCAGCCCTTTGTCAGATGGGTAGACTGCGAAAATTTTTTCCCATTCTGTTGGTTGCCGATCCACTCTAGTGACTGTTTCTTTTGCCGTGCAGAAGCTGTGGAGTTTCATTAGGTCCCACTTGTCTATTTTGGCTTTTGTTGCCAATGCTTTTGGTGTTTTGTTCATGAAGTTTTTGCCTACTCCTATGTCCTGGATAGTTTTGCCTAGATTTCCTTCTAGGGTTTTTATGGTGCCAGGTCTTATGTTTAAGTCTTTAATCCATCTGGAGTTAATTTTAGTGTAAGGTGTCAGGAAGGGGTCCAGTTTCTGCTTTCTGCACATGGCTAGCCAGTTTTTCCAACACCATTTGTTAAACATGGAATCCTTTCCCCATTGCTTGTTTTTGTCAGGTTTATCATAGATTGTATAGTTGTATGTATGTTGTGTCGCCTCTGGTGCCTCTGTTTTGTTCCATTGGTCTA